CAGGGACCAATCGACCCCAGGCCTCAATTTGCTGCCCTAGTGCTAGCATGGTGGCAGATTGTCCCTGCATCAAGGAGATTGCATTTTGCATGGAGAGCACCGGTGAAGGGGAGGGGTACGTGGTATAATTTATAGCACAGATCAGTGGGATGGCAGAAAACAGCAGGTGAGTTGTCTGATTTTTTTTTTAGGGATTGGGAGATGGTTAGTTGGGCAAAGAGAATCGAAGTAGAAAGAGAAGGGAAGGGAAAGGGAGGAGGGGAAGGTGGTGAGGGGGCAGGGCAAGGGAAGAGACGGGGCAGGGTAGAGGGCCAGATGAGGTTGAGGGCTTAGGTGAGGAGACATTGAAGGGGGCTTGGAGCCAGGAGGCAGTCAGCACATCAGAAATACCTGGATGACATCTTAACATCCAAAAACCTCTGTTTTAACAGCTCCTCAGCTTCTGATCTCAGATAAGTAAGGCTCTGGTTGGGTCCTTCCCACAGCTTCAACCACATGCTGGGGAGGGATTGAGGGTCCCAAGAGTCCCTGGGCCTCGCCGATATGCTGCTAGAGCTTGGGGTGCTGGGGAAGAAGGATGTTTCTCGTTGGACACCATTTTGTCTTGTCCTCCAAGTACTCCTCTCCTGTTAAGGACTACCAGTCCAATGACCTTTGCTTGACAGTATAATATTTTTCAGTGACTTTGAAATATTTATTCAAGTAAAATCTCTCTTCTACTCTGGGAAAAGGTACTTGTCTGTGCTCCAGGAGTCTAGCTGGAAGAGTCTTTGCTGCAAACTGTTTTATTTAACTAAGTAGATACATACATACATACATACATACACACACGCATACAGATAGATAGATAGATTTACACACTTCATTGTAGGCAGGTCCAAAACCAGATTTTTGTGTGGCTGTTGGTACGTGGGAGCCAATGAGACAGGAACAGCCCCTGTGAATGGTAGCCTGGAGAAAAGAGTTGGGTTTTTCTGTTTGTTTTTGTTTCTTTTAAAGAAAAATAATGTGCCAATTAATGTGCCAATTCATCTGCTCTGGAGACAAAGCCCCTCCATTTATCCAAGACTTTCCTTGTGTGTGCCTCTTTCGCTGGCCTTCCACTCTCCTTGTCTACTCCTTGCAAGGCCTGGAAGGAAAGTTATGGGTTGGTAACTCCACCGCACAGAAGCTGCTTTTGTTCTCAATCTAAGCCATGTTTAATGCAACCTTCCTTTGCATGCTTCATCCCTCAGCCCTGCCTGCGGTCATCAAAGACGAGCTGAAGGACGTGGAAGCCACGGAAGGTGGCACGGCCACCCTGCACTGCGAACTGAGCAAGTCTGCCTCTGTGGAGTGGAAGAAGGGGCCCAAGGCTCTCAGGCAAAGCGGCAAATACCGCATGAAGCAAGAAGGCACATCTGCTGAGCTGCTGATCCGTGATCTGGACCTAAAGGATGCCGGAGATTACACCTGTATAGTTGGAGACCAAAAAACCACAGCAGCCCTGTCAGTAAATGGTAAAACATCAAAAGTAAATTGTGAGATTGTTAAATGTCCCTCCCTACTCTCCCTCAGCCTTGCCTGTTTCTTTTCTTTATGTTCGACGTTTCCTTTTCTTCGTCCTTTTTTTCACATCGTCCTACGGCTCCATTCTCCACTGCCCAGTTAAAGTCGTTGTGCATCTGTTGTGCGCTTTACGTTTTTGAGTCCTCTAAGGAACCTTTAGCAGGAACAAGGCACCCGTGTGCATGTATGTCTCGCTGCATTCGTGTCAGAGCTGAGATGTTTTGTGCTGCTCGCTCCCAGGGCCTTGTGTGTTGTCTGTCGCACAAGTTGTGTTGCACTGGGGACTTTGACTCTCGTAGCACAGTCTGCTCTAGAGTTGAAGCAGGCTTGGCTTACGCACGTTGTGGCAGGTTAAAAGGTAAATTATAATTTGATAATTTCCTTTGGGTGGCCCACTGTTGCCTCCAGCGTGTGGCATTTTGATGCAATACCTGTTCATTCTGCATCCCCCAGCCCTCCCTGCACGCTTCAAAAAAGAGCTGAAGAATGAGGAGGCCACGGAGAGTGGGACAGCCACTCTGCAGTGTGAGCTGACCAAGGCCGTGGACTCAGTCGAGTGGACGAAGGATGACAAGGTGCTCAAACCGAGTGGCAAATACCGAATGAGACAAGAAGGTCGTTTTGCTGAGCTGATTATCCAAGATCTAGATTTAAAGGATGCTGGAAATTACACATGTGTCTGTGGCGGCCAGAAGACAACTGCTGCTTTAACAGTAAATGGTAAACATTATAACTTCCAATTGTTTCATACCTATCTCCTCTATGAAACTCAAGATGTTTGGTGCTCAGGGTTCATAAAGACACACTGCTTCTCCTTTGAGGGCACGTTCCCTCTCATGCCTGAAAAGCTTTGTATCCTCAGCTGTATGACACTGAGTCACCTTGATATACAATATTTCTTCTTGCTGTATTGGTTTGACCTGGTCCAGTTAGGTGCCCAGCTCTGTCCTCCCATTGCTATCCTTTTTAAATGCCTAAGTCTCCATATCACTGCAGTCTTTCTCCATCCTAGCAGCAGTGTCCACATACCTAATTGTATCTATTGCAGTCCAGTAACCCACAAAATAGTTGTGCTCACTGTAAGCTGGTTCTGATCCAGTCTCTGTACCCATTGCATCCCTCAGCCTTGCCTACCCTCTTCCAACAAGAACTGAGGAGCACAGAGGCTAAAGAGGGCGAGGAAGTCACTTTGCACTGTGAACTGAGCAAGTCTGCCCCCGTGGAGTGGAGAAAGGGGCATCAGGCTCTGAAACCCGGAGACAAATACAAAATGAAGCAAGAGGGTCCCTTTGCTGAGCTGGTGATCCAGGATTTGGAGTTGATGGACACCGGCAACTACACCTGCGTGTGCGGAGACCAGAAGACTTCAGCCACCTTGACAGTGAATGGTAAAAGAGAAATAAAGAGCATACCCCAGATAAAACTCCCCAACCCAAGAATCAGCTCCCCTTTCCAATTATGCCTTCTCGTATAACATCCCTGTCTCCATTCTTTGCACATTTGGGGGATTTGATCTTTTTTCTCCTTGTCTTCCCTCTCTTCTCTTCATGAGAGATCTCCTCTTTGCTTGTCATCTCCATTCATAAGCCTGAATATCAAGAGTGCAGACCCTTAAATGTTTCGTTTCCCAGTGCATTCGCTCCAGTCCAGAGCAGCCTTGTAGGTGCCTCCAGTGGGGTTCAGCAAACCTGGAGAACAGGGGCCTTGCCCTAAGTGATCAGTCCAAGTGGACAGGTGTGGTTTGAACTGGATTATTTCTGAGCATGATCTGAAGATTCAATCTAGGTCCCGAGTTGCCCTTCCCAGCGCAAATGGAGGAGCCTCGGTGGTTTTGTGATACAGTGCAGGCTTGACTTAAGTAGACTAATTCAAAAAAGTGACCCACAGCCCATTTTAGCACCTTGTTGACCAATTTGGATGTGGCCCATAGTTGGCTCGCTTGCTTGTTTTTAACTTTTCCCTTAGCAATAATACAAAATGAAGTATAATTGCCCTTTGAGTTACCCAGGATATTGAGTCCATGTTTCTCAGATGACTCATTGTTTATGATCAGCTCGTGCCACCCCAGCTAATAACCCATCATTTTCATTAGCATTTTTCACCTTAACAAAAATGCTGTCGTTTTTCCTACCCGGTGGTAGATTCCATCACTTCTTTTGCACCATTTTTTCCCCCTTCCAAAATGTATATTGTACCGCTGCAAAAATCCAACACCCCGTTTTTATCACTGCTCCACTTTCAGGGCCTTTGAAAGCGAATGTGTTACTCCTGGCATGGGAAAAGAAACACTTTGGGCCTTGCATTGAAAAGTGGTCTCTTATTTTATACGTCTAAATTTCCTGCTGCAAGTCATTCTGAGTGGATACCATTGGGATATATCGTTCCCGATCTGATCAGCTAGCTAGATAAGTAGATATCAAAATACTATAAAACAAAGCTGAAAAATATGAGGACACTAAATAATTGGGCAAACTCAGACCCCTTAAAAAAATCAGGGTTTTTACAGTATTATTAATGCTAGTGTTTAAAGGCTTCTTCATGGCTTCTATGACAGAAGTGACCAGTGCTAAAATGTGTTGGTGGTTTGATAAAGAGGATTTCCAGGTTCTCAGTTTTGATCCCCTTCTGCCCATATTGCATTCACCCTGCAGCCCTGCCAACGCTTTTCACCAAAGAACTGAAAAACGAAGAAGCTACAGAGGGTAAAAGTGCCACTCTGCGCTGTGAACTCAACAAGGCTACTGCAAAAGTGGAGTGGAAAAAGGGACACAAGGCCCTTAGACCAACAGACAAGTACAAAATGAGGCAAGAAGGGGCTGTTGCGGAGCTGGTCATCCAAGACCTAGAGCTGACGGATGCTGGAAATTATATCTGTGTGTGTGGAGACAAGCAGACTATGGCATCTGTAACAGTACACGGTAAAAAAAATCAAACCAAAATTAACAGTAACGTTGTTGTTCCCTTCCCTGGACAGACCGAGTCCTTTCCTGCAGTATGTTCTTGATCCACAGCTCAGTGAGGTCAATTAAAAGGTGGCCCTTAACTTAATGAGGGTTGGAGTCTGCTTTTATGCAGGAGTGCACATAGTAAGACCAGAGAAGAATCAGAAAAATAGCGCAGGGTGCAGAGCAGCTGTTTCTTTTCTGTTTGCAGCTGGTTGCTTTTTCACAGGAAGCTTTTTCATGGAGTTTATACTCATGGTATCACCTCTCCATCCGTCCCTTTTAAACCATCATGCATCAGTTTAGCTAGGTGCAAAGCCTTACAATGATTTAGGTTTCACAACAGACTGAAAAGTTGCACCGCTGCTTCCCAATCGGTTCTCAAGGAATAACGCTTCTTAAGAAGTATCACTTCTTATCCCTTTGCTCCAGATATATGACAAAGGGATGATTCTGTACCGTGTGTCATGTAAAGAACACCGCCACGGTATTCCCGCAGGTCCAAACTTTTCATACGGAAAGTACTCTTGCTGAAAAAAGCATGGTTTTATTGAAACCAACATTTTTTTTTTGATAGAAAAAATGTCAGTTCAACTGAGAATTTTTTTTTGTTTCTTTGTAGGATTGCTTGGGGGGGTGGGAATTGCTTTTAAATTGGCATTTCAAAATGGAACTTTTTGCTTCATTTAGATGTAGACTGTTGCTTCATTTTGCCTAGAAATGTCAGATTGCAGCACCTTTG